TCCTTCTCCTCCTCTCCTCCTCCTCCTCCTCCTCCTCCTCCTCCTCCTCCTCCTCCTCCTCCTCCCCGTCCTCCTCCCTTTTCCCCCCCTCCCGAGTCGTGCTTGGACGGTCCCAGGATCGGGCCAGGGCCCCTGTCGGACGGGGCCAGGATTCAGTCGGGCGTGTCTCTCTTCAGGAGGAATCTGCAAAAATAGGCAAGAAATAGTAAGAGAGACAATTTTTTGACTTTTGTTGGATGTATTTGATTATTGTTCAACTATCTGTTGTTTCTCCTCCAGAATCCGCCTGTAGGAGGACATGCCCGACCTAAGGCTAGGGCGAGGATAAGTCCGTTCCAGAGCGTTCCAGAGCGCTCTAAGCACATCCCAGGACGCTCTGAGAGGGCCACGGCGCCCGAGACGTCCTTCAGAGCCGCACCATCTCAGAGATTCCCGATTCATCCTCATCTGATTTTATCGTCGTCCTGGCTTCGTCTTACTGGGGCCCACCCCTGAGCCGTTGGTCCCCCCCCAGTCGTTTCCCCTCGCTGGGGGGACTGCGGGCTCCGCGCGCGCGCGCGCCTTGGCGTGCCCCGAGGCGGTGAAGCGCAAGTCGGACCTGTGGACGTTCCGGGCGAACAAGCTGGACCGGGGCTGGCACGACTTTCTGGCCCCCGGGGAGCTCGGCCGCGCCCCTTCCCCAGACCCCCTCGAGTCATAAAAAGATCACGGCGAGAGGTCTTTCACTATTTTCGGCCCTTGGGGGCGCTCGCCTGGCCTCGGGACCGTCAGAAAAGAGCTCCAGATGAGAAACCGGTCCCGAAAAATGGGTCGAGACTTCTGGGGGACGACGTTAATGAAAAATCATGACGCTGGGGATCTGGGTCCTCAGCCACGCGCAGAGGGGGTAGGGGAGGGGGGAGGGCTTCTTAGAAGCACCCTACGTCTTCGAAGGCGCGAACCTTATCTGTATGTGTAAGGCCCGCGCCTTCTGAGAAGCAGCCTCCTGCTAAGAAGCCTTCCCCCCTTCCCCTACCCCCTTGTGCGCGCCGCCAACATCCACTGGGATGACCACGGGGGTTGCTAATTAAGAGGGCGTGGGGGATTACAAGTGGATGCTATGTTGGATGCTCAGGCGGGTGATAGGCGGGTTACAGGTGTACCAAGTGGCTTGGGTGGGTTAGATAACTCGATCTGTTAAGTGGGCGCTGCCCACTTAGGTTAGCACTTGAGCAACTTACGGCACGCCTTACCGGCTGAGAGGCAATGTCACGTCAGGTATAGCATACCTTAGGACCTTAGGATCCGCATATCACCTCCCTAAGCCTATGCCCTTAGCACCCCCCGAGGTCATCCCGGCAGGCCTCCCAGATGGGGTCCGAGCAGCTGGGATCGTCGGGTCGCGCGGCGCCGCCGACACATCGGCGATGCGGCTCGATGTGGAGCCTGATCTACTCCACGCCGACGGCGCCGAAGCCATCGCTGACGGCGCCAATGCATCGATGATATATCGACGATGCGGCGCGATCCTCTGACCCCATCTACTGGGACCCTATTTGGGAGGCCTCTCGCCACGCGGGAGCAACGGTCGGCAGAAAGAAAACGCAGATGACGAGCGGCACGTGTTGAGAGGTATTTGCCAGGACGCTTCCAGGGCTGGCTGGAGCGCACGAAGGTACTTGCCAGGACGCGTCCAAGGCTTGATGGACGTTATTGGATTCGCTAGTTTCTGAGACTCAGCCCGTGCTAAGTCAGGAGTCACACCATCGCTTCGACACGTCCGTGCCAGGCCAAGCGCGTCTGTGCACGCGCGTGTCTGGGCGGCGTCCGGGCCTCATCGCTCTGCATGGCTTGGACGGCACAGGTGGGCCGCAGTGTCTACGTTGCAGCTTAGCAATCCAATCAAGGCGCGGATGATACTCGTTTCTGTACTCGCCTGTCTGTGGCTTGCCGTACGGTAGTGTCATGAGCAGTCGGTGCGGCTTGAGCGGATTGCAATCCAGTCGGCTACCGTACTAGGAGCAGTGCATGTGAGAGAGGTGGCAGTATTTGTTGTCGTGCTTGCTCAGTGAATCGTTGAGTCGAGGCGCAACCATACTCCTCCAGAACAGTTGCTCCAACCGGCCTTGTCTGCAGAAAGCAACCCCGTCATTGAAAGGGCGGGACGACGCCACCCACGAACGCGCAGTGCCCAGAGATGCCGGCCGTCAATCATTAGAAGTCTAATGGCTTCAGTTGTGGAGGGGGGAATGCTGCACAAGCGCAACAGTTCGGAATTTTTGTGGGAACTGATTGTGTCCAGCGCTAGACCCCCTGCCTGGCGCCGGGGGCTGGCGCCGCCAGGAGATTCAGCGCCAGTCCAAGAAGTCATGTCCCAAACCTGGTAAATAATGATGACCCCTGGACGCGGAGCGCCAGGGCGGTCGCGGGGACGTCCCCGGCGGTCTGGTTTGCCCCGCCTTCCTCTTGTTTTCTACGTGCGCACTACAGCGCCGGGAATGACTGTTCTTAGATTGTCCCCCCTAGACCGTTTTTGTTGCAACTGTTCTTGGACGTAACGCGCGGACCTCCGAAAGCTGATGCTTACGCTGTGTCTTCATGCTCTGAACGGGTTCTCTCCTTGCTCCCCCGCCTGGGCTCCTCACCCTGGGCGGCCGTCCCAGGAGATCTGCCGCTACACCAGCCCGGACGGCTTCGTGTGCATCCGGGGCGCCCTGGATAGCGAGTGCCTGGGGAGGGTGTTCCTGCTCCAGTCGCAGGCGGCGCTTCTCTTGTTCCGCTGCTGCCCCCCTTTCTGCCAGGGGGCGTTTCCCATCCCGCTTCCGTTCGCTCGGCACCCCTGAGAGGAGCAAGAAGTCGTGATGACGAAATGGAAGCCATTTAATTGGCGTCCAGGGCCCCCAGGCCCGCCCCTCCCAACAATTGTCCGAAACTCCCCCGCCCCCGCCCCAGTAGCCGAATTTCTCGCCGCGGGTCTTGGGGCCGGGCAGGGCCCGTGCCCATGTCTCGCTTGATCTTTGAGCTGTCAGTTCGGGGCCGCGCGCGCACGAAACCGACCCTGTGCACTTTCCGCGGGTTCGCTTCTCTAGCCTTCGCTCCTCCCAAGACGAGCCGCGCGGCCCCAAGACGGCCCAAATCCAGCCCTGAGCCTCGAGGCTGCGTGGGGGGGCGGAGCGGCGCAGCGCCGCTCCGCTGAGGTCCCACCCCAGAGGCGATTTCTGGGGCCCGCGGGCGGCCTTTGAACTCGACCTTGAAGGCCTTGGCAGGGGAGCCTCCGCCTCCTCGGCGTCCTCGTCCTCCAGCGCCGCCCCCCTCCTCCTCCCTCTCCTCCTCCTCCTCCTCCTCCTCCTCCTCCTCCTCCTCCTCCTCCTCCTCCTCCTCCTCCTCCTCCTCCTCCTCCTCCTCCTCCTACGCCGGTGCAAGCAAGCCGCCTTCACCAAGTACATGCGCAGCAAGCACGTCATCCTGCTGCAGGGGGTCCATGGCTCCGAGACGCTCTTCCGCACATGGCTGGACACGCAACCGTACCCGTACAAGCTCTTTTTCTCCGAGTTCGCGGCCGACACCGAGGACGGCTCGTCTGCTTCAACAGGCGGCGTCGCGATTCTGGTGCCTTGGTTCACGCCCATGCAGCTGGAGCGCCTCCGTCCTGACCAGCTTCCAGTGTTCGGTCATGACCCGCTGGTCCTTGGGCACATTCAACAGCTGGTCATCAGCAACACGAACACAGGCGATTCCCTCGTCATCGTGAACATCCACAATCATGAGCTTCAAACGCGAGATCGTGACAGGGTCCGTGTTGCATAGCGCCTGTATCGCGAATGGGCTGCCCACGAGTACACCAAGCGCACCTTCTTGGCCATGGACGACTTCAACACAGCCAGCCGCCCGCCGAGCAGCTTCAACCAGCCCCAGGCGCAGCACTCGCGCCTCCAGCTGGACAACAGTAGCCGCCAGCAGCAGCCCTTCTGGAAGGCCCTCTTCGACTCCAGGCTAGAGGTCGAGTCCGAGCTCCCCACGCGCTTCAACAAGGCGGACTACACGGCCTCCTCCATCGACCGCGTGTTCATCAGCCTCCCCTCCCACGCGACGCAGGAACTCTCCATGGCTGTCCACGTGCTGCACGACTCCGCCATCATGTCTGACAGGCGCCTCAGCGACCACGCCATCATCTCCTTCTCGATCGGCATCGAGCCACGCACGCCGCCGGCTGAACAAGCCATCCCATCAGCAGTGATCCGTGATCCCAGCTACGCCACCTACTTGCAGAACATCATTGACGCCGCTGGCACGCAGCACCTCTCCGTCGAGTCGCGCTGGCGCACGCGCAAATGGCGCATGACGGAGACCGCCCGCATGGTCTGCGACGACTGGGTCCGCTTCAGCTCGGGCGACCTCGCCAAGCCTGGCTTCCTGGACGGCAGGGTCATCATCATGCGCTCGATATTGCGTGCGATTCGGCGTCAGGACGTACAACGGGCACGGTGGTTGCATGCTACAACGGAGCTGGGAAAGCGCTTCCTCGACATCGACTCCCCGACTCTCAAGCTCACCGACGACGCCCAGTTCGCGATCCTCTCGCCCTCCCTTCACCGAAACTTCAGGGCTCGCCAGCGCTCTCTGGCCCAACGGGCAGCGAGGTTCCTGCGGGGCCATCCTGAGGCCTTGCCCCCAGAGAGCCTCAAGAAGGTCTTGCGGGTTTCTGAGAGGCGCGCCCTCCTCCGGCCCCCCCTGGAAGCGCCGCCCCGCCCTCCGAGGGGGTTTAAGACAACGGGCCTCGAAGGCCCTGCTGCCGCGACCAGAGAGAGCGGCAAAATGGTCGACGCCCCGCGCAACCACTGGTGCCCCGTCTTCGCCTACAATCAGGAGGGGAAAAAACACACAGACACAATTAATCGTTGATCCCCAGGAAAATATAGGAAAATATGGGAAGTGGGGGGGAAGACAAAAACCTAGAAAATATACGAAAACATTGGGATTTTGTTTATTTGTGTGTATTTATTTGTGTGTCCCAGTTCCCCTTCATACAAGACCGTCGGCTCTGAGGCCGCCAACGCGTGCGTCAACGGGCACATGCCGCAGGGCGACGCGCTGGACATCCCGCCGCCCTCCAAGCACCAGCTACGGGCCTTCCTGAAGCAGGCGTCATCTTCTGCGCCTGGCCCCGGCAGCCTGGGCCGCCCGCGACCACTCGCTCTCCATCTTGGACGACATGGCCTGCCACCTCTGCTCAGGGCACTCGATTCCGCGCTGAACGACTCGGACTTCGCATTCTTACCGAAGGGCGACAACCTCCTGGGCGAGATCAGCACGGACCGCGGGTCGCCTTCCAGAAGACACTCGGCCTCTCCGTCTGAAGAACGCTGACATCAAAGCTACCGCAGGCGCCGCGAACAACCCCATCAAGCCGCTCGTGGCCGAACGTGCCAACAAGGCGCAGCAGGGCTTCGCCGTTGGCAGGGACTTCACGCAGCACGTCGCGCGCCTGGCCGCTGAGATGCGCCGAGTTGGCTTCCTCGAGACCGCAGCTTCGACTTCGCGTCGGCCTTCCCATCGCTGGGCAGAACGTGGCACTTCAAGGCGCTGCGCCGCTTCGGCTTGCCGGCTGGCTACATGCATCTGTTCGAGGCCACGTGCCATGCGCCCGCCTCCTCGGTCAAGGCGGACGGCGTTCGCCACCCCACGTTCGCGACCGAGTCTTGCGTCGCTCAAGGTCGCCCAGCGAGCGGCTCCGCATGGGCGGTTGCGATGGGCCGCTGGTCCGCCACGTCGCCGGTGCCATTGACTTGGGCAATGCGGAAGCCACCTCGACGGACGACCTGGGCGCCTGCGCAGATGACCTCGGCATCCTGCGCGACTCTATCGCTGTGATCGGCAAAGCTACTGAGGCCTTTGATGCCGCCGCGCGCCTCGCGTTCCTGACGCTGATGCCTCGCACGTGTGTAGCTGTTCCTCTTCGGGCACCTGCGCCTCCTGCCACCGCGGCCCGCGCCCGGGACCTGCTGCCCGAGTTGTCGCTTGCCCGGCGTGCTTTATCGATCGAGGGGCGTGCCCAATACGGCGGGTTTTGCCTCGGCCCTTCGGCCTCCCTGGCCGACCAATGGCACCCCCCCGGCAAAAAATGGTGGCAGCGCGCTCACTTGTTTCAGTCTGTGCACTCTGGTAGCGCCGCTTCAGTTCGGCTCTATAACACGCTTGCGCTGACAACTTTAAGCTATGTCGGCCAGTCCTTTCCAGTTCCTGTCTCCGTAGTGCACCGCGAGCGGTGCGTTCTCCACGATATGCTAGGCCTGCCGCCGAACACCTTTCGCGAGGTAGATATTCTTGTGGTGGCGGATTCGTGGCCGCCGCCTGTGCTACCCTCCTTGCAGGTCATGTCTGTCGCAGCCGCCGCCCACTCAGCGTCTCGCGGCTTGGCAGATCTGCGGGTACTGCACTATCCTCGCCTCCGTGACACAGCATGGGACGAGAGTGCAGCTCATTCCTCCCGCCGCTGGTTGGATGGCCTGTGATCTCGCAGCGTCTGGGTGCAGCCGCGCGCGATTGTGCAATTTGATGCCCAGCTGCGAGATGCGCAGCGCACAGCACCGCTCACGCCCGCCATGATGCAAGAAGCCAATGCTGCAGCGCTGGCCGACAAGGAGATGGCCACCGCAGCCACTCCGCCGCGCCGCCACCACTTCCAGCGTGTTTTCGCGGCCTCTCTGCGCTAGGCTGCCCTTGCATCGCCGTTCATCGTCACCATCACACAGAGGGTGGCCGCGTGGGGCTTCCGCATCGATCCGGCGCATTTGGCCGAGCGTTGGGAGGCGCTCATCCGTGTATTGAGGAGCAGCGTCCGACCGAGCTGGCGCTGGGCGGCTCTCAAGACACTCGCTGGCGGGTGGACGACCACCGCCCGCATGCATGTGCTTGCGCCCCGCAGCTGTGTGTGTTGGCTGCCACGATCAGCCAGACTCATTCCCCCACTACCTCTCCAGCCGTCGCCTTTTGAGCCTCCTCTGGCCCCGTGAACCTCCACTCATCCTCGACACTTTAACACGCTGGGGTCTTGGACCCCCAGCGGGTCAACCGCGTGTGCCCAGCGAGGTGTCACTCCATGCCACCATTCGCCGCGTAGCACTGGCCTTCCATATGTACAACAAATTCAGGACGGCCCCGTCCAGCTCGCCGAGTGCACCGCTGGCCGCTGCCCGCGCTCTCGTCTCGCGCTAGCAAAAAATCTCGCTTAGCGCCCGTCGGCCGAGCCTCAGGAGACACGTTCGCTTCAGGCTACCCGCGCTCCTCCTCCTCCTCCTCCTCCTCCTCCTCCTCCTCCTCCTCCTCCTCCTCCTCCTCCTCCTCCTCCTCCTCCTCCCTCCTCCTCCTCCTCCTCCTCCTCCTCCTCCTCCTCCTCCTCCCTCCTCCTCTTCCTCCTCCTCCTCCTCCTCCTCTTTCCCCTCCTTGTCTTCCTCCTCCCCCTCCTCCTCCTACCTCTTCTCCTCCTCCTCCGCCTCCTCCTCCGCTGCCGCCGTCTCTTGCTCTTCTTTTTGACCGTCCCCCCCCAGCCTCGCCGGGGCGTCCTTCGGCATCCCCTCCTGCTGCCACGTCCCCGCTCTTCTGCCTCGTCCTCCTCTGCCCCCTCCTCCTCTGGCGCCCCTTTCGGGCCGCCTCATGGACCCCCTCTGGCGACCCGCATTGAGCCTGCCAGCGGCGTTCCTGCCTGCTTGGCTGGTCGCCTTCCTGCCGCAGGGCCCGCAGCCTGCGCCCGCGCGGCAAG